AAGCAAAGGCTAAAGGCTGTTTTAAACAGCAGCACTTTATATGCAGAGAAACAGGCAACTTCCGTAGCTGAACAAATACTGTACGCTTCAAAAGCTTATAAGATATTGGAACTCTGGTATGATGTGACCCTTACAATAACCCTTTAAAGCTTGTTGTACAGAAAAGTAACAAGGGGCACCTCATAGTTTAAAAAAGAAAGATAGTCCAGCTTTAGGTTTTTTAGGAGCTTGCCAAAGAGAAGGGCCATTAAAAAGGTAGATAAGCAATGTTTCCAAACCAACAAAATATTCACGAATATCTGAAAAGATGCAAACGAAATGGAAAGGAGAAGAAAAGCCTGTGATAGAATGGTACAGCCTTTTGGAAAAAACACGACCCATCGGGATTACCCTGGATTCAAACCTCAATAGGCCCAGTAACGACTGACTATTTTGTAACCTCATTTTAAAGTTTAGAAAGAATGAAATTCAGAAAAGCCTTAATTTTGATTATTTTAGCCTGAGGTAGACGAAATTCCATGGCCACAGTATCGATTGTAATACCAAGAAATTCCAAACACATAGTTAGATATACAGATTTTTCGGGTGCCAAGGGAACACTGAATTGATGACAAATGATTTGAAATTTAGTAAACAAGAACCAACAGTCAGTAGAATCTGTTGCGCCAATAAATAAGAAATCATTCAAATTATGTAGCAGGGTGCTTGAATCACATTGATAACTAACTACTCATTCTAAGAATGAAGAAAAAAAGCTCAAATAGTGACACGGCAATGAGCACCCCTTTGGGAGACATTTGTTGAAATAATAAAAAACATGAAAGCATATACCAAGTGAATTGAAGGCCAAAGGATGTATAGGCAACAAATAAAATGCTGATTTAACATCATCTTTAGCTAGAAGAGCAGAAGCTCCTACTTATGTAATTTTAATTAATGCGTCATCAAATGAGGAATAACATACTGAACACAATTGTTTCAGTTTCATCATTCAAGTCTAAATGAATTTGGTTCTTTTTTTGGAATTATTCCAAAAGGAGAGACGCAACATTTTTTGGAAAGGCAGTGCAACAAAAGGCCCTACAAGTCTGCCTGCATCAATTTCTTTCTGAATCTTTGTCAGACCTTCATCCAGATGCTGCTTGACTGAAGGCCTATTGTCAAAAACATAGCAACCAACACCAGTAAAGGAAGGTAATGGGAAACAGTCAGAAAAAAAAAAAAAAAAAGAACTGCCTTCTGTTGATTAGGATAAATGCGAAGACACGGCAACATTCCTTTCAGGTTGACTAGTGTTGCCGTTTTTTAAGAAAAAGATCCATCGAAGGAAGTGACATATTAGCATTCAATTCTTTTTAAACATCCAGAAGCCGGATGTGCCCCAGAGCAATAAGCAAATTCATGAATATACACTGCTCAAAAAAATTAAAGGAACACTTTAAAACACAGCAGATCTCAATGAGGAAAAATATCATGCTGGATATCTATACTGATATGGACTGGGTAATGTGTTAGGAATAAAAGGATGTCCCATCATTTGATGGAAATGAAAACTATCAACCTACAGAGGACTGAATTCAAAGACACCTGAAAATCAAAGTGAAAAAATGATGGAGCAGGCTAGTCCATTTTGCTGAAATTTCATTGCAGCAACTCTAAATGGTACTCAGTAGTTTGCATGGCCCCCACGTGTTTGTATGCATGCCTGACAACGTCGGGGCAGGCTCCTAATGAGACGGCGGTTGGTGTCCTGGGGTATTTCTTCCCAGATCTGGACCAGGGCATCACTGGACTCCTGGACAGTTGATGTCAGATGGACCGAAACATGATATCCAAGAGGTTTGCTATTGGATTTAAGTCAGGCGAGCATGGGGGCATTCAATGATATCAATTCCTTCATCCTCCAGGAACTGCCTGCATACTCTCGCCACATGAGGCAGGCATTGTCATGAACCCAGGACCCACTGCACCAGCGTAGGGTCTGACAATGGGTCCAAGGATTTCATCCCTCTTAGTGCTGGGCATTGAGCCCAGGGCCCACTAGAGGACGTCGGGCTCTCAAGCCACCCTCATGAAGTCTGTTTCTGATTGTTTGATCAGAGACATTCAAACCAGTGGCCTGCTGGAGAGCATTTTGTAGGGCTCTGGCAGTGCTCATCCTGCTCCTACTTGCACAAAGGAGCAAATACCGGTCCTGCTGATGGGTTAAGGACCTTCTATGGCTCTGTCGAGCCCTCCTAGAGTAACTGCCTGTCTCCTAGAATCTCCTTCATGCTTTTGAGACACAGCAAACCTTCTGGCAATGGCACATATTGATGTGCCATCCTGGAGGAGTTGGACTGCCTGTGCAACCTCTGTAGGGTCCAGGTATCGCCTCATGCTACCAGCAGTGATACTGACCCTAGCCAAATGCAAAACTAGTGAAAAACAGTCAGAAAAGACGAGTAGGGAAAACAATTACAATGTCACACCTGTAAATCCATTCCTGTTTTGGGGGTTGTCTTATTGTTGCCCATCTTAGTGCACCTGTTGTTAATCAGTTTCAGCTGCTTTGGTGTTAAATTAACAACCCCCTCTGCTACTTAATTGAACAGGTAAGGTGCCAAGAACTGGAGGTTCAACAGGAGCAATAACAGCAAGGCCGAGGGGTGATTGACAGCCGCTGTAGGAAGAGGACTGACCCAGAAAAGGAAAGCAGCACAGCATCCAGTTGTGTGTCATACTTTTGTGACGCAATCGGCGAAGCCCCCACAGATGATACAGCTGCAGGGAGAGACACTGTTTTGTAGTGGAGGATGAGCAGAAGCCATAGATGAGGTGGCTGGAGGCAAAGACAGGCAGTGCTCCATCCAGGCATCTCTGTCGCCCTCTCCAGCTCTTTCAAAGGAGTGAAGCCATGTTAAGGGGCCAGCAGCAGAGGAATGGCAGCCTAGATGTTGCCTCTTCTATCTTCAACTGCTGACTCACTGCTAAATGATGTCTCTCATTGACAGATCATAAAAGACTGCTATTTTACATGTAACATGAACTGTCCAATTACAGGACATATGCAAATGACCTTTCTACCAGAAATGTAATTAGTCTGCCACGGTCCCATAGGTGGAGGGAAGGAGGCGAATGCTAGCCCCGCCCTCCACCTTACATCCTGTTGTACAATAATTTTTGAACCTATAGTAACCCTCTTGTTTTCGATATGAGACTTACTGCCGGGTCATACTGGTGTGATTTGTGTGATTTGCAAATTGAAAGCGCACCTGAAATCGCCTCTACTGAATGTCAGTGTCTAAATATGTGCGATTTGCTACAACGCGATTTCTAAAGTAGTTACATAGTTAGTCTGGCTGAAAAAAAAAAAGACAAAAGTCCATCCAGTTCAACAACTGAAAAATAAAACTTATAATCCTATGCCCACAGTTGATCCAGAGAAAGACAAAAAAAACCCAGTAAAGCATGATCCAATTTGCACCTGCTGGGAAAAAAATTCTTCCTGATCCCCGAGAGGCAATCGGATATTCCCTGGATCAACTTTACCATTAATTGTTAGTATCCAGTTATATGCTGTGTATCTAAGAAAGAATCCAGACCTTTTTTGAAGCAATCCACTGAGCTGGCCAGAACCAACTCTTGAGGGAGTCTATTCCACATTTTCACAGCTCTCACTGTAAAGAAACCTTTCCGTGTTTGGAGATTATATTTCTTTTCCTCCAGATGTAAAGAGTGCCCCCTTGTCCTCTGTGATGACCTCAGGGTGAATAACTCTACACAGCATTCACTATCTGAACCACTGATGTATTTATACAGGTTGATCATATCCCCCCTTAATCTCTGCAGGTAGTTCTTGCATTACTTTTTTGGCAGTTTTGATGCAATTTCACAAACATAGAATATAATGGAAATCGCACTGCAAATTGCAAGAAATCATTGAAAATCTTCACAAATCGCAATAAAGTCTTCAGAAATCGCACCTGAAATTGCACACAAATCTAGGTGTGACTGGTGACTTAGTCCCTGGTCCCACTGGGTGTGACTTGGCATGTGATTCTCATGCCATAAGACTTGCAGATGACAAGTCGCACCCTATTGTCTGTAATTACAGCGGTCATATCGGTGTGGATTCAGACTTGGTTGGAGTAGCACAGATTTCTAAAGTAGTACATGCACTACTTCAGGTGCGACCTGCATAGACATCTGGGCAGATGTCTTCCAAGTCGCACCTCAAGTCGGAATGACATTCGTTGTACAAGCTGGTGTTAGGTTGTGTGATGAAGGGGGGCACCTACCTGCAGTGTCCTGGCTGTGCTCTGTGTGCGATGAAGGGGGGCACCTACCTGCAGTGTCCTGTCTGTGGCTGTGCTCTGTGTGCGATGAAGGGGGGGGGGACCTACCTGCAGTGTCCTGGCCGTGCCTGTGTTCTGTGTGCGATGAAGGGGGGCACCTACCTGCAGTTTCCTGGCCGTGCCTGTGTTCTGTGTGCGATGAAGGGGGGCACCTACCTGCAGTGTCCTGGCCGTGCCTGTGTTCTGTGTGCGATGAAGGGGGGCACCTACCTGCAGTTTCCTGGCCGTGCCTGTGCTCTGTGTGCGATGAAGGGGGGCACCTACCTGCAGTGTCCTGGCCGTGCCTGTGCTCTGTGTGCGATGAAGGGGGGCACCTACCTGCAGTGTCCTGGCCGTACCTGTGCTCTGTGTGCGATGAAGGGGGGCATCTACCTGCAGTGTCCTGGCCGTGCCTGTGCTCTGTGTGCGATGAAGGGGGGCACCTACCTGCAGTGTCCTGGCTGTGGCTGTGCTCTGTGTGCGATGAAGGGGGGCACCTACCTGCAGTGTCCTGGCTGTGGCTGTGCTCTGTGTGCGATGAAGGGGGGCACCTACCTGCAGTGTCCTGGCTGTGCCTGTGCTCTGTGTGCGATGAAGGGGAGCACCTACCTGCAGTGTCCTGGCTGTGCCTGTGCTCTGTGTGTGATGAAGGGGAGCACCTACCTGCAGTGTCCTGGCTGTGCTCTGTGTGCGATGAAGGGGGGCACCTACCTGCAGTGTCCTGGCTGTGCTCTGTGTGCGATGAAGGGGGGCACCTACCTGCAGTGTCCTGGCTGTGCTCTGTGTGCGATGAAGGGGGGCACCTACCTGCAGTGTCCTGTCTGTGGCTGTGCTCTGTGTGCGATGAAGGGGGGGACCTACCTGCAGTGTCCTGGCCGTGGCTGTGCTCTGTGTGCGATGAAGGGGGGGACCTACCTGCAGTGTCCTGGCCGTGCCTGTGTTCTGTGTGCGATGAAGGGGGGCACCTACCTGCAGTTTCCTGGCCGTGCCTGTGCTCTGTGTGCGATGAAGGGGGGCACCTACCTGCAGTGTCCTGGCCGTGCCTGTGTTCTGTGTGCGATGAAGGGGGGCACCTACCTGCAGTTTCCTGGCCGTGCCTGTGCTCTGTGTGCGATGAAGGGGGGCACCTACCTGCAGTGTCCTGGCCGTGCCTGTGCTCTGTGTGCGATGAAGGGGGGGCACCTACCTGCAGTGTCCTGGCCGTACCTGTGCTCTGTGTGCGATGAAGGGGGGCATCTACCTGCAGTGTCCTGGCCGTGCCTGTGCTCTGTGTGCGATGAAGGGGGCACCTACCTGCAGTGTCCTGGCTGTGGCTGTGCTCTGTGTGCGATGAAGGGGGGCACCTACCTGCAGTGTCCTGGCTGTGGCTGTGCTCTGTGTGCGATGAAGGGGGGGCACCTACCTGCAGTGTCCTGGCTGTGCCTGTGCTCTGTGTGCGATGAAGGGGAGCACCTACCTGCAGTGTCCTGGCTGTGCCTGTGCTCTGTGTGCGATGAAGGGGGGCACCTACCTGCAGTGTCCTGGCTGTGCCTGTGCTCTGAGGGGGGGGGGGGGGGGGGGGGGGGGGGTGGGGGGGGGGGGGTGGGGGGGGTGTGTGTGATGAAGGGGAGCACCTACCTGCAGTGTCCTGGCTGTGCTCTGTGTGCGATGAAGGGGGGGCACCTACCTGCAGTGTCCTGGCTGTGCTCTGTGTGCGATGAAGGGGGGCACCTACCTGCAGTGTCCTGGCTGTGCTCTGTGTGCGATGAAGGGGGGGGGCACCTACCTGCAGTGTCCTGGCTGTGCCTGTGCTCTGTGTGCGATGAAGGGGGGCACCTACCTGCAGTGTCCTGGCTGTGCCTGTGCTCTGTGTGCGATGAAGGGGGGCACCTACCTGCAGTGTCCTGGCTGTGCCTGTGCTCTGTGTGCGATGAAGGGGGGCATCTACCTGCAGTGTCCTGGCCGTGCCTGTGCTCTGTGTGCGATGAAGGGCGCACCTACCTGCAGTGTCCTGGCTGTGCCTGTGCTCTGTGTGTGATGAAGGGGAGCACCTACCTGCAGTGTCCTGGCTGTGCTCTGTGAGCGATGAAGGGGGGCACCTATCTGCAGTGTCCTGGCTGTGCCTGTGCTCTGTGTGCGATGAAGGGGGGCACCTACCTGCAGTGTCCTGGCTGTGCTGTGCTCTGTGTGTGATGAAGGGGAGCACCTACCTGCAGTGTCCTGGCTGTGCTCTGTGTGCGATGAAGGGGGGCACCTACCTGCAGTGTCCTGGCTGTGCCTGTGCTCTGTGTGCGATGAAGGGGGGCACCTACCTGCAGTGTCCTGGCCGTGCCTGTGCTCTGTGTGCGATGAAGGGGGGCACCTACCTGCAGTGTCCTGGGCTGTGTGTGTGATGAAGGGGGCACCTACCTGCAGTGTCCTGGCTGTGTGTGTGATGAAGGGGGCACCTACCTGCAGTGTCCTGGCTGTGCTCTGTGTGCGATGAAGGGGGGCACCTACCTGCAGTGTCCTGGCTGTGTGTGTGATGAAGGGGGCACCTACCTGCAGTGTCCTGGCTGTGCTCTGTGTGCGATGAAGGGGGGCACCTACCTGCAGTGTCCTGGCTGTGTGTGTGATGAAGGGGGCACCTACCTGCAGTGTCCTGGCTGTGCCTGTGCTCTGTGTGTGGTAACAGGAAGCAGGCCATTGCAGCACACCCCCGGTCACGTGGCATTACACCAGCCCCGGTCACGTGGCATTACACAAGCTCTGCTCAGAGTTCCTCTTTAGTGAAGACAGATGTGAGGCGAGTCTGTGGTGACACACCTGTCCTGTCCTGTCTCTGCACCGCTCCTCCTCCTCCCGCCGCGATAATCCCGCCCCCTCCCTCCTCTCCCGGGGAAGTGTCCGCTTCCTTCTCTCTCCTCTTCCCCTCAGATTACACCAGGCCGGAACGATGCTCCGAGGCCGCCGCTGTGTTCTCCTGCTCTGTGCGCTGCTGGCCAGCGTGTCCGGGGAGGGCCATGAGGAGGAGGACCCGCACGACAAGCACCTCTACTCAGGCGAGATGTTCACCCATGCCATCAAGGAGGCCTCGCACTTTATCATGTTCTTCGCTCCATGGTAATGGTGGGGGGCCGGTACAGAAATATGGGGCTCAGACTTGGGGGGCTTCTGTACTTCACAACATGGCCGCTAATCGAGGATTGGTGTGTTCTGATGAGTGAGGGTGCTCAGTGCTGGGAAGTGCCGGGTGTTGGAGGAAGCGGTGTTTCCTGTGAGTACAGCTCAGGGCCGCCTGTGATCAGTGTTTGTAAACATCAGTCCTGGCTGTGGGCTGCGCCGCTGCTGTCTGATAAGAAACAGACTTGGAGCTGATCACAGGATCCTTCATTACCCTGATGATAGAGGGTTTAGACTGATGGGGGGCTGTGATGACAGAGGGTTTAATATAATGGGGGGGGGGGGGGGCTGTGATGTTAGAGGGTTTAATATAATGGGGGGACTTGTGATGTTAGAGGGTTTAATATAATGGGGGGGACTTGTGATGTTAGAGGGTTTAATATAATGGGGGGGCTGTGATGATAGAGGGTTTAATATAATGGGGGGACTTGTGATGTTAGAGGGTTTAATATATGGGGGGGGGGGGGGGCTGTGATGTTAGAGGGTTTAATATAATGGGGGGGCTGTGATGTTAGAGGGTTTAATATAATGGGGGGGGACTTGTGATGTTAGAGAGTTTAATATAATGGGGGGGGGGGGGGGCTGTGATGTTAGAGGGTTTAATATAATGGGGGGGGGCTGTGATGTTAGAGGGTTTAATATAATGGGGGGGGGGGGGCTGTGATGTTAGAGGGTTTAATATGAGGGGGGGGCTGTGATGTTAGAGGGTTTAATATGGGGGGGGGGGGCTGTGATGTTAGAGGGTTTAATAATGGGGGGGGGGGGACCTGTGATGATAGAGGGTTTAATATAATGGGGGGGGGGACCTGTGATGTTAGAGGGTTTAATATAATGGGGGGGGGGACCTGTGATGTTAGAGGGTTTAATATAATGGGGGGGACCTGTGATGATAGAGGGTTTAATATAATGGGGGGGGGGACCTGTGATGATAGAGGGTTTAATATAATGGGGGGGGACCTGTGATGTTAGAGGGTTTAATATAATGGGGGGGGGGACCTGTGATGATAGAGGGTTTAATATAATGGGGGGGGGGGACCTGTGATGATAGAGGGTTTAATATAATGGGGGGGACCTGTGATGATAGAGGGCTTAACATGATGGGGGGGATTGTTTGCATTTCTATACAGAGCAGTTTCTGTGTATGATGTGACAGCAGCCTCCCTGCCATGTGCTGTCCTCCTAGAAGAGGCATGGCTTCCCTCCCCCCTCTCCCGGCCTGAGCCGAGTTCAGAGGGTGTGAGGGACTGCTGACGTGGCTCCGGATTCTTGGCATGAGCTTACGTGTGCTTAGGGGCTGTACTAGCCAGGCCGGGAATGTTCACATACAGGCCATGGAAGACTGCTTACATCTTCACCACTTCCGCCTCCCAGCTGGACTTGTCAGTTTAGTGTGTGTGTGTGTGTGTGTGTGTGTGTGTGTGTGTGTGGGGGGGGGGGGGGGGGGGGGGGATCTGTAGGGAGAAGGGTGTTAGGCCTGTTGGTGGAGGGATCAAGTATAGATACGTAGAAATCTTAGCCACTAGATGTATGAGCAGGCCTTTTGGAACAATGAAACTGATTTACTATAACAGGGGAGTGCAAAATTTGCTGCAGCTCTGCCTAGAAAGCAATCAGCTGCCAAGTCTTAGGCTCCATTCACATGGGCGTTCCAAGTCTTAGGCTCCATTCACATGGGCGTTCCATGTCTTAGGCTCCATTCACATGGGCGTTCCATGTCTTAGGCTCCATTCACATGGGCGTTCCATGTCTTAGGCTCCATTCACATGGGCGTTCCATGTCTTAGGCTCCATTCACATGGGCGTTCCATGTCTTAGGCTCCATTCACATGGGCGTTCCATGTCTTAGGCTCCATTCACATGGGCGTTCCATGTCTTAGGCTCCTTTCACATGGGCGTTCCATGTGTCCGTTTTCATCCGTCTGTTGACAGATAGAAAAAAATGGACAGCAATGCAATTCCTATGGGGGAACGGAAGTAAACGGATGTAGTCCATTAGACTGGATTCACATACGTGCAGGCTGGTTTGCAGTGCAGTTTTTTTTTTTTTTTTTATCCCATTTCTGTGAGATTTCATTCAGCGGTTCAGGAGCGATTCCAATGAGAATTGTTAAAATGTATGAGATTGGAAATCACACCTGACTGAAAATCGCACAGGTCTGTTTTTCAAATTAAACTGCAGCCAGCCCACCCATATGTGAGCAGGCTCAACAGGAAAGATTTTTGGTTCACGTGTCCTGCAGATTGGTATGGTTCAAATTGCATCTGAATTCACAGATATGTGAACCAAGGCTTACATCGCTTTTTTTTTTTTTCTACTTCCATTCAGCTCCGTTTTGTTATAGGCCCCTTTCATATGGGTGTCATCCATTCAGTCATGTGTTTTCAAAGAAACAAATGGGATTCAGTTTGCAGTTCAGTTTGTCAGTTTACTTCAACTTTCCCTTTCGTTTATTTCAGTTCGGTTTGCTTAGCTTATATCCGTTTAGTTTACATTCATTTTTTGCATCTTTTTTTTACTTGGGCTCCTTTCACACTAGCAGATCAATTGCATCCGCCTGTCTGTTTCTCAGGTGAACCCGATCGGACCCCCCATTCTCCTGTTATGGAGCGGTGGATGTAAATGGACATGTTTCTGATTACACCCGCCTGCAGCCGATTCTATCTGCTAAAAACAGATGGATCAGAATCCATTCCACATTCATCTAGCGGAGCAGATCGGATGATAATCAGGTATAAACGGACAGGCAGTCCATTTACATTTTTCCACCCATAGAGAACCAGTTGGGCATAAGCGGAGCAGACATGAACCAGCCATCCGCTTGCTCAGCAAAGATCAGCAGATTCCCCGCTGAGCAAGCGGATTCCAACAGAGCCAGCCCCATCTGGAAGGGGCCTTACTTGTTGCAGAGACCAGTCAGAGGTGACAAGTATAAACAAAAAATGTTCTTGCCTAAAAAGGACATAAACGGAACAGATGTAAACGGATGACATCCATTTACATTTCTTCCGCTTCAACGGATCTGGACGTACCCTTGTCTGTTTAAAATGGACCAGAACAGACAGATGTGAATGGATGATCATCCATTCACATCTGTGGGTCCATAGAAATACATGTGGTTTTTAGTGCTACTTTTCCTGCCAGGAAAAGACGTTTCGAGGAGCTGTAGTGTACATGAGGTCTAAGCTGGCTATAAACAGTACAATCTCCTTTAGGGCTAGTTCACATTAGATGCAGTCCAGTTCGGTTGTTTTTTTTTGCTTTCTTTTTTCTGCATCAAAAATGCATGCACAGTGTTTTCTATGTATTCCAATGACGCTAGTTCACGCCATTGCAGTGCAGAAACAAAAAGTAGAACACAGAACTGTACTGGACTACATCAAACTGCACCGGAATGGAGAGTGGTGTGAATTGTAAGCAAAAATGTATCTGGAATGCATCAAAGTGCATTTTTGTTGTGTGCACTGGCCTTGGGCTAGGTTTGCATCTACTGTAAGTGGTAAGTCACACGCATACCTGCAGCAAAAATGCGCTGATAGCAGACCTACAGAGGTGCCATGTACTCTTAATGGTGCCCCCACACCATGGGAACCGCAATGCAGTTTTCCAATGCTGAGAACTGCACAGCACTATGTGCTTTCCCTGCAGCTGCCATTTTGGAAAAGGTGCAGGACCTTTCTCTGTGCGTTCTGTAGTTACTACAGCCCATTCAAATGAATGGGCTGCTGTGCCCGTGCAAATGCGGCTGCAGTGAACCTAGCTTTAGATCTATGATCAACTATGTAGTATAAGAGCCTGCCCATTTCTGTGCAAATGCATTGGATTGTTTAGGTTTGGAAAGTGTAAAGGAAATTATACAATCTGATTGTACAACCTATACGGTGTGTGGCCACCTTAAAGTATATTATGCAGTCTGTGCAATCTTCTTTAGCCCAGGGTCACATAAGGGCTGCTGCGTATTTGTTTGTTTTTCATGAATCCCCTTTTCCTTTTTTTTTCCTTTTTCCCAGTGACCAGCAATATCTCATGTGGCATCATTGTTGCTAGGAGAAATAGTTCCTGAAAAATATTGGGCTCTTTCTGCTTTTTGTAGTTTTTAAGCCATTAGCAAGTTTGGCTGACAGCATGCAGTTGATCAGGAAAGTGGTGCTTCTGATTGTTCTGCTTGGTATATAATTTATTGCATCCTGGAAACATCAAAGGCATATTGTAAGAATCCGGGTTACCTTTAGTAGCTCCATCTGCAAGTTGTAGTGAAGGGGAGGGGGAGAGACTGCCTACTTTGGCTTCTTCCCATGACCTCATTACCTGCTCTAGTTAGTTAAGAAATTAAAGGCACTCTTACTATGCTGGGGAGGAATAAAAATATATGTTTAGCTATGAAACGAATTGCTGTGTGTTTTTATTTTTTAATTTATGTTTAGTTAATTTTTTAGCATTAGTATCTTCAGAGCAGTGTAGCTGTTATAAATAAATTCCTTAACTGCCTCCCGCCCGCAATATAAGGAAATGACGGACGGGTGGTGGTTCTGGGCAGGGCACTGATGATCAGTGTAGCCCCATCAGTGCCACCTGTCAGTGCCCATCGATGCAACATCAGTGCCCATCTGAGCTGCCTATCGGTGCCATATGAGTACTGCCTTTCAGTGCCCATCAGTGATGTCTGTCAATGCCCACCAGTGATGCCTATCAGTGCCTCATCAGTGCTGCCTATCACTGAAGGAGAAAAAATTACTCGTTTACAAAATTTTGTAACAAAAACTAAGAAAAATACTTATTTTTTTCACAATTTTCAGTTGTTTTTAGTTTGTTTAGCACAAAAAAAGAAAAAAACAGTGGTGATTAAATACCACTAAAAGAAAGCTCTATCTGTCTGAAAATTTTCATAGGGGTACAGTGTTGCATGACCGCGCAATTGTCATTTAAAATGCGACTGCACTGAAAGCTGAAAATTGTCCTGGGCAGGAAGGGGGTGAAAGTGCCTGGTAGACAAGTGGTTAAAGGAGCTCCATGCTGAGCTAGAGGCTGCCATTGCTGACCTCTTTTCTGAAAAGGCTAGTTTCTTGCACAATTGATCCTCTAATTTTTGTACCTTCTTAGCTGCTGACCTGGAACAAGCATGTGGCATCTGAAGTCATAATTTGTGATTTGTGTGCTTGTTAAAGCAGAACTTCACACAAAAGGGGAACTTCCACTCGTTTGCATCCCCACCCCTCCACTGTTCTATTTGGCACATTTTTTTTTGGGGGGGGAGCGGGTACCTGGTTTTAACAGGTACCTGCTCAGATTTCTGGGTAAGATCGGCGCGGTGATATTTCAGACCCCAGCAGACTGTGGGACCAATCGCATGGCGTAGTGTGACTCGCTCTTGCACAGTAGGATACCAGCTGTGAAGCCGGTTTCCCTTACCCAAGATTCCTGCTCATGAAGCCTATGGAGGAATCCACTCAGGAAGGACATTGCTGTATCTCTACAGTATTTGCAGCTGCTGACATTTAATTTTTTGGGGGAGACTGGAGCTCCACTTTTAAGGTCAGTTACTCAGTGAATTGAAGAGTAGATCAGTAGGACAGCCAGCAGCTTGATGTTTCCAATAGAGTAGTCAACTGTGGCATCCCTTATTGGATTCATGTACACAGCCAATTGGGGCCAAGCTCTGCCCAGATCAGAGTTTCTACAATGGGTACGGCCCGGTGTTTGTGATCAGCTGTACTAATATGTGATGGCTGGCTGACGTGTGCATCTGTTCACATGCTATCACACAGGGCAATTACCTGTGGTTAGGGAAGGATGTAAGCCCCTGGATACTGGCTGTCTACATCCAAGGGCACACACCAGTCCCCAACCACAGATAATCGCTCCATGTGCGATTGTGTACAGACAGTGACAATTTGTCATAGACTTGTACAGGCTTCCTGTCTGCAGCTGATCAAACACCTGACCTTACCTGTTGCAGAAATACACCAATCTTGGGTGGTATATATCCCTGATTTGGCTGTGTTTGAACCCAGGAGGAGCAGAGCAAAGTGACAGAATGAATGTCCACTATATGATTACTGATTTTAAGGGGGTTTGTGTAGCTGCACAGAATGCACATTGCTGTCCCAGTAAGACTTTGTTCTGCCTCCTTTATCCTCTAATATAACTTAAATGGCAGGGCAGTAAAAGCATAAATCTTTTACTTACAGCGGACATTGAGCTAAAATCCGTTTACTCAGCACAAGCGCATAGGTTGGTCAGTAGGATGTGTGCTTTGTGCTGAATTCTATTGTTTTCAATTTAACTCTTCCTGTGCACCATTGTATCCTTTTCTCTGTGGATCTTGCTTGGTTTCCCAAGCTGTAATCCTTCTCCTTAGTTGGTAAAGAAATGGACTTTTAAATATTTATTTCAATCACAAATTAGAGCATTGTGTGGTACTCAAGTGGCCTAATGAAGTGTGTTTGTTTTTTTTTATTCTAGGTGTGGACACTGTCAACGTCTTCAATCAACATGGAATGAATTGGGCGACAAATATAATAATATGGAGAAGACTCCAGTTTATGTTGCTAAAGGTGGATTGTACTGTGGACAACACATTATGCTCTGATAATGGTGTCCGTGGATACCCCACGTAAGTCCTTATATACTAATGCATATCTGCCTAGCATTTTGCTCTGTTTTATTGGCCTGTGCAAATTGCGTTTTTATTAGGTTAGGATTTGCTTAGCGTAAACCTGCCCTGATACAAGCACAGGGACCATAATAATCATTCTCCTTCTGAAAATCATAGTTGCATGTTTTTCCTACTGGCCCTTTTGGATTCATTACCAGCAATAAGTATGTGGATCAGGCAAATCAGAATCTACTTGTTTCAAGGTGACTCATTTACAGTGGAACTAAACCTAAAATGGAACTTCACCCAAAAGGGTAAGTTCAGCTTGTATAACTTTCTCTCCCCTGTGGCAATCTGAGACGGAAATTTGGACTCCCTTCTTCCCCCACAGCCTTCTGGGACACTGCACAGGTCCCAGAAGACTGCGGGAGCACTCAAAAAGTGCAGCACGCGTGGCACATGCGCAGTCGAAAACCAGCTGTGAAACCGCAAGGCTGCTCTTTGGATTCCCTTACTGAAGATGCTGACACCCAAAGCCGATTGAAGAATCGGCTCGGGTGAGGACATTGCTGCATCCTTGGACAGGTAAGTCTCCTTATAATAAAAGTCGGCAGCTACAGTATTTGTAGCTGCTGACATATTTTTGGGGGGAGCCGCTCCGCTTTAACTAGTGGTTAAACCCCCCCCCCCCCCCACCCAAAAACCTTGTTATTGCAGAAGAGATGAACTATGATCTTCTGAAGTAAAAGGCATCTACTTGATCGCTTGCTCACAGTCTTTTGTTGGATGTGCACTGTGCCGCATGTGCGGGATGATGTCATGTCTTTGTACAAAAAAAACATTTTTGCATAGATGTTAGTCTGGCAAAGCTGCATGTGCATTCGCTCTGTGCAAATTTACCAGCTATTCAAAGTTTGGAAAAAATCGAATATTAGGGTGTTTTCTCTTTTGGCCAAAAGTTCTTGGGCTGTTTTATCCATCTTATCTTCTCTGTAGTAAATTAATGGTACAAACGAGATATCTGCCCTCGCTTGTCTGGAATAAAACCTGCAGCAGAAAACTGATTGTAAAACTGTAATCCCTCAAGCTAAAAACACAGCTTTAAAAGTATGGCAGCTATGTGATTGCAGCACCTACCTCCAAATGTACAGCAGTGCAAATATCACCACAAACTATATAAACTATGTACAGATCTACTAAATACAATGTATTCTGGAGTGTGACTGCCACAAATGTCAACAGTGTGTATAGGGCCCGAACAATATGACCAGCATGAGGGTATGTGGTCTTGTATATACCATGACTGTGATTTTTGGTTTGTGGTGCGGCAAACAAATGATATACCGCAACCCAACGTGACCTATTCACGTGAGTTCAGTGTTTTGCATAGAAAATGTTCCTTCAGCTAAAAAAAAAAATGGCATTGGGAAGGCTGAAGTGTTGCCTCTTTATTGCCTGGCAGCTGCCACACTAAAAGTGATCTAGCACAAATCACTTTTCAGAATGAGAGTGCGCTGCTGATGTTAACAGGGCCTAACACTGGTCTGCACAAGTAATTGGATGTGAGTATATAGTTGCATGTAACATACTGTACATAGTGGTGCAATGACTATTTGCAGGTATATGTAACCCATAGTACTATGTCTTTTTTTGAATAGCTTACTCATAGTTTTATGTTTTGTACATCACGTTGGCTCTGTACACTGAATAAACATTAACACGTGCTTATTAATCTAGATGCCTACCACTAAAATGTTTGTTTGTATTTTAAATGTGAACTTAAAGTATAATTTGAAAATATACTGTTGGTATAGCTCTGATATGACTACTAGAAACTAGAGGGTTTTTTTTTTTTTTTTACAAACTCAACAAATGCATGATACATGTAAATGTGAACAGTTGATCAGTTTTTCATAGCTCAGGTCTGTGTAATATTTCCTGTTTCCTGTTCACTTATAATTAGAAGTATAATCTTATGTCTAGTGACCAATAATGTTTCCTCTCATTGTTATCTTTCAGTCTGAAGCTGTTTAAACCAGGCCTAGAAGCTGTGAAGTATCAGGGAGCAAGGGACTTCCAGACACTGGAAAATTGGATGCTTCAGACTGTAAATGAGCAACCAGAAGTGAGTGTCCCGGAAGCTCTGTCTTCCTGAATTTTGGTTTTCTGACGTTAATGCTCAGAGGGGCAAAGCTAAATGAAATCTGCTTAGGGAGGTTGGTGATATTTTTGGCTGCTTTTTACATCTTCATGCAGAAGGAGCACTGCTGGATTCCAAATGCATGACATCTAGCAGCTCCAGTTTGTTTTATTAGGATTTTATGTAATAAGACCTTTTTAGTAGAGCTCTGGTAGGCGGGCAGCAGTCAACATACCCTGATATCCTAAGCCGTAAATCTCATTTACTTCAACTGATACAGACTTGGTGTCAGTAAACATCAGGGGTTTTGTTTGTTTGTTTGTTTTTCCTCCATTTACTTTTATGTTCACAAACTTTCTATCTTGTGTTTTCATTGCTAGTAATTATCTTTGGATCTGCTGTTTTCAAATGCTTCCTTACTCTGTAAGACAACACTATCGCAGCTAATACTGTCTGGTTTGTTGCCTCTCTCAATGAGCATACTCTATCATGTTCCTGTAAGGAAGTCGTTCACTTCCTCCTCCTTTTTAGCATTCTAGAAGGCGCTCCATGTGAATCTTTTCATCAGCTTGTTGTGTGGCTTTAGGTAGGTTGACTGACTACCCCCCCCGTGATAGTTTGTTCAAGATTGCAGGGCGCCTATGGTCGAGTGATTGATCGGTACTTCTTCTGTCCTTCTAGCTGCCCCACATTATCTTCTATGCAGTAGTGTTTCCCTAAATGTATAATCTCGCTGTGGGCCATGCTCAGGATGGATGTGCAAGACTGCTTTAGGATACGGTATACATTTCTAGTTACCAGTGGCAAGAACTTGGTGGCAGTATGTTTTAATCCAATGGATGTGGCTGCTTCATCATCTCAAGCGGTGTAGATGATACATGTGGTGGTCTTCACTGATACTTTTACTCCTACAATGCAAAGGGGTTTGATGTTAGTACATTACTGACTAATGTTTTGGAAATGATGCTTTAGGCCTTTCACACAGGCATGATCAGTCAGTGTTTGACCTCTGATTACAAAATCGCACTGTAGTGTACCCCAACGGGTGACCGGATGGTAGTGGAGATCAGACTCCACTTCTCTATTTGCCCACATCCGGGTCCATTCAGATTCGTTGGGCTGAACAGAGTTTGCATCTGGGTCCACTTCTGTGGACCTAACCAATGTGGACAGATATAGGCTGTTACATTCAGCCTCCCATTTTACACCATCCATCACAGGACTGATGGGAAATTCAGAATGGACATCGCACATGTGGTTCCCACTTCTGTTCTTATACTGCTCAGCAGGTGACCAGTCTAGGATCCCTTGCTGAGACAGAGATGGGGAAACCCTTTTTGGGCCCTAGATTACATCATAACTTAAATTGTTACATAATTAGTCTGGCTGAAAAAAGACAAGTCAATCCAGTTCAACCATTTAAAAAAAGAAAAAGTTATTATCCTATACCCACAGTTGATCCAGAGGAAGGCAAAACCAGCAAAGCATGATCTAATTTGCTCCTGCAGGGGAACAAATTCCTTTCTGATCCCCCGAGAGGCAATCGGATATTCCCTGGATCAACTTTACCTATAAATGTTAGTATCCAGTTATATTCTGTTTCGAGGACTTGCCTCTTCCTCAGAGCCAAAGGAAGAGGCAAGTCCTCAAAACGCCTCAGCCTATTGGATGTCTACACTCCCTATTGAGGATGGTTACTCAGCACGGTGTTGACTAAGCTGTTTTATGACTTGCCTTGACTTTGTGGTTTTCTGAGTACAACACCTACTTTATTTCTTCTTAACCACTTGACCTCCAGAGGATTTACCCCCCTTAATGACCAGACCTCTTTTTGCTACTCTGCGCTGCACTAATTCAACTGATAATTGCACGGTCATGCAATGCTGCACCCAAACAAAATTTACGTCCTTTTTTTCACACAAATAGAGCTTTCTTTCGGTGGTATTTAATCACCTGTGCGCTTTTTATTTTTCACGCTATAAACAAAAAAAGGCCAAAAATTTTGTAGAAAAACAATATTTTTTACTGTCGGCTATAAAAAATATATAGTAAACTCAAAGTTGGTTATAAATTTAGGCCAAAATGTATTCGGCTACATGTTTTTGGTAAAAAAAAAAAATCCCAATAAGTGTATATTGATTGCTTTGTGTGAAAGTTATAGCGTCTACAAACTATGGTATAGATACTGCATTTTACGCCATTTTTTTGCTATACAGCGCTGCGCTAGTTTAAAGGTCAACTGTGCGGTCATGCAATACGGTACATAAATGAAATTTACATCCTTATTTTTTTCCCCCACAAATTGAGCTTTTGTTTCGGTGGTATTTGATCGCCTGTGCGGTTTTTTTTTTTTTGCGCTATAGAAAAAAAAAAAAGGCTGACAATTTTGAGGAAAAAAAACAATATTTTGGACTTTTTGCTATAAAACATGTCCAGTAAAAAAAAAATTTAAAAATCAAATTTAGTCATAAATGTCTGCCAAAATGCATTCTGTGACATGTCTTTTGCTAAAAAAAATCCCAATACGTGTAAATTAATTGGTTTACATGAAAGTTATAGCGTTTACAAATGGCGGGAAAGATACTGGGATTTTTAGGTTTTGTTTTTTTTTATACTAATAATGGCGGCGATCAGTGACTTATGGCAGCGATCAACGACTTATGGCGGGACTGCGGCGGACATTCTGACATTGGGGGGTACTGACTTGGGGTCACTGACATCCCCAGTGACACCAATACAGTGATCAGTGCAAAAAAAAAACACTGACACTGTACTAATGGCACTGGGGAGGAAGGGGTTAAGTTTATTATTTAGGGAAAGGGTTAACTGTGTGAGGGGAGTGTTTTCCTAGGGGGCAGGGGGTGTGTAATGCAGGGAACACTGCTGATCGGGAGAGAGAAACTCTTCTTCCCGATCAGCGTGTCCTGGAGCTGTCGGAACTGACAGAAAGCACAGCTACTGCAGCTGTGCTCTCTGTCAGCAATGATCACCGGGACATAGCAGGTAATGACCGGCTGTGACCCGGCGACTGACATCCGCGGCTGTGATCGGCAGGACAGGTAGGGGCGGCGCGCCTCCTACCTGTTTACAAAACACACGTTTTAAAACGTGCTTTTGCCCAGCCGTGCCGCCCTGCCGCCGTATTTCTACAGTGGCTGGGCGGCATGTGGTTAAACAGTTTTTATGGTAATGCCCTAGGCCTGTGCTCCCTCTGTTTGTTCTTTCCTCATTCCCGCTCTCCCTATCTCCCTCAGAGGATTTTGCTCGCTTTAGAAACCGCAGCTTGGCATTGCATGCCATTATTAAGCTTGTGATCTACCAGAACTCCCAGATCCTTCCCCACCATTGATTCATTCAGTTGTACCCCCCCCCCCCCCCCAGTATGTATGATGCATGCATATTCTTAGCCCCCAAGTGCATAACCTTACATTTATCAACATTAAACCTCATTTGCCACATAGTTGTCCAATTAAACATCGCATTGAGGTCAGCTTGTAAGTTGAAGACCTGTAAGGATGTTATTTCACTGCACAGCTTGGTGTCATCTGCAAAAGGCTGAAATGGTATTTTTAATCCCAGACCCTGTACTGTCTATAAATATATTAAAAAGTAAGGTTCCCAACACTGAACCTTGGTGTACACCACTGAAATTGTCTGTAAACCCATATAAGTTGTAAATTTACCATGATTATGTTGTGGTAACAATTTGGTATTAAGGATCTGTCAGTTTTTCAAATTAGGATTTTGCTTATTGTTTAAAGTGCAGTGAAAGTTGGTATTTCCAAATTGGATATACTGGCAGTTTTAATATATAAAAAACCCTTGGCATTGCACGATTATAACTTTTTTTTTTTTTTTTTCTCCATTTTGTATGAATTTTATTTGTCCGTTAATTCCATGAGTTTCCTTGTCTTTATTCTATAATCCTGCATTACATATGCAATAAAGGACACTGGGTTGAATTAATAAGGGAGTAAAGGCTCTTCACTTAGAAACTTCATCTTACTATAATCTGTGAACATTCGCCTAGTCAAGTCTATTCCAGTGTTTCCCAGTTCCAGCACACTTTTTTTTTTTTTTTTTGAAATTTATACTCTTCAAAATGTTGTTAAACCCGAACATGTTGACCAGCTGACTACAGTACTTACCATGTCTTCTTTGATCCAATGATCACTGCCCCAGCTTCCAGGTTTTTGGGTGGCTCAATTGCCTTGTAATATCCTATAAACCACTCTCCTGCACACTCCCAGGGCAGACACTCCAATATGGGTGCTATCATGATGTCTCCACTACATGCACAGGCAGCCAAGGATGACTAGACAAAGCATTCATGCACAGAGGCCACGGTAGTGCTGGGACATACAATCCCAGGGTTTGATCTGTATTGGTGGAAAATATAATTTTAAGTAGAAGTAAAGGCAAATCCTTACTAAGTCTAAACCTACTCTCAGACACTTTCTAAGCCTGATGTATCTAATTGCTATACTTACTTGTTCTGGTCCCATGCTGAGCTATCAGTGGCTTCAGTGTGTAGGAGTGTGCAGGGGAGGCAGCTGACAACGGAAGCCCCATAGTAACTCTATGGGTGACGTCCCTTACCAGGCATTTCCCAGCCGTTTTGTCAGCTGTCTCCAGCACAAAGGGGCTACAGAACAAGTAAGTATAGTGATGTTGTGTTTTTTCTCTTTACAGTGCTAAATAGATTAGGCTTAGAATGTGGCTGAGAGTAGGTTTAGAGTTGGTTAGGATTTGCCTGTACTTCCACTTAAAATTGTATTAATCTAAATAAATCCCTCCCTCCACCCCCAATCCGATCATGATGATTTTATTTTTTGCAAAAGCATGTCCAAAGTGAGTCAATTTAAAAAAAAATTAAAATATGTATGTAATAAGTATTTGATCTCCTGCTGATTTTCAATGTTTGCCCACTCACAAAGAAATGATCAGTGTAAAAATCGAATGGTAGGTGTATGTAACACTGAGAGACAGAATAGCAACAAAAAATTCAAAAGAAATGCATGTCTAACAAATTATGCACTGATTTGCATGTTCATGAGGGAAATAAGTATTTGATCCCCTTCACAAAACATGACTTAGTACTTGGTGGCAAATCCCTTGTTGGCAATCACAGAGGTCAGACGTTTCCTGTAGTTGGCCACCAGGTTTGCACACATCTCAGGAGGGATTTTGGCCCACTCCTCTTGGCAGATCCTCTCCAAGTCTTTAAGGTTTGGTGGCTGATGTTTAGCAACTTGAACTTTCAGCTCCCTCCACAGATTTATGTGAACATACTAACATAATGTGTATGTCTGGTTGCCCTGGTGTGTTTTTTTTTTTTTTTTTTCCCCATTTAATTTTACTTTATTATAATTGTTTTTAAAACACATGCTCACATTAAGAATGCTGTTCTCCAGGAACCAAAGGTTGAGCAAGAAACCCCTAAAGCACCGGAGGCCAAACAGGGCCTTTATGAGCTCTCTTCAGGAAACTTCAAGGATCATGTTGCTGATGGTATGTAAAGAACTGTTTTTTTTTTTGTTCCAGTGTATATTTTAAATTCTGACCTGTCTTGTTACAATAAAAATGTATATCGCCTGCATGTGCTTAAAGACGTTTAAGGCTACGTTCACTAAGTATGGGTCAGGAACAAGTGTGTAATTGTTCATGTTCCTGACCAGCACAGAGACAGACTGCTCTTCAGCAGCCCCATGGGGTGCCATTAATTCTAAACAGTATGGTGTGCAGATTTGTGTCTATTGTTCCCTGAAATATTTGGGGTACACTACTACCGTCCAGCTGGTTGTTTCTAAGATAAATATGCAACTACTGCAATTGATGCACTCTGTGCTGTTTTTGTACCCTGTATTTCAAAGGAATGGGCTGCTGTACCTGTGATGTGCGCACACACACATATATAAATCTAGAGTAAAAGTCTAATGCATGTGGCACTGCACAAATCTGTCCAAGCTACACAGTCTGCACTGAAGTCAAAATCTACTGCCCCCCTCTATTGTAAAGCCCTGTGCCTCCTCTGCTGCATTCTTTAAGCTGAAAGATATTCGCTACTGATCGCACATGTGAGCCCAATCCAGGCCTAAGCTGGCCCACTGCCTGCTTTTCAGGGGAGAGTACACATATAATTGTCAGCTTGTGTTGTGAATGACAGCATTGGAAAGCTGCATTAACTGTTCACAAGAAAACCACCATCTACTACACGAGTCATAAGCTTTTTGTGAATGAATGGCACTCCTCTCCAGCAGTTATTCAAAACAACACATGTAGGCATTTGCATGTGTAATCTTCCTGAAAAGCAGATAGCAGGTGAGCTTGGGGGTGTTGCAGGGCAGATTCATTGGGGATGGGGGGGAGACCTGAGGGGAGGGGGATCAGGGATGCTCTGTGCAAAACCGTTGCATGGAGCAGGTAAGCATGACAAGTTTTAATTTTAAACACAGCTGAAGCTTTACAGTCACTTAAGTTTGTAAATTAGTAATTAATAGATCTTAGAATACTAATCGAAAACTTTGCAATGTATTTTATAATCTTTGCCAGTAGAGATAAGGAACTGATGCAAATCAACTTCATCAGTGATTTAGCAGCGTGGTCCCAATTGACTCTACTCTGCCAAAACAAAATGTTTGCTAACTGGCTAAAAGTGAATCAAAGGTACACCTACAGTTCACCATACACAGCTGACCTCTCAAATAGAAACCTTTGTGCATAGACTGCATATCCTTTTGCAAACTCTGGCAAAATTCAATGAATATTCTGCTTTTAAGGCTTCATGGGGTGAGGCTCCTGACCTGTGATGCTGGTGGCCTAATAATGAAGTAGTAAGGACTTCTGTTTGGAAGCCCTCTCCAAGCACTGCCAGTTCAGAAGTGAAACCTATAGATTTTCCAAATACATTACTAGGTTTTGGTAAAACAGAAGTTTGGTGCGTACTGGAAGGATTTTCTGCAAGCTCTTGTTTAAATAGATTTGCTCATCTCTAGTTGTCAGTGTATTTCCCTTCTAAAAGAATAAATTCTTGTATCTTTATTAAGGATGGACTTTACAAACACTAGTGTATTTAACAAACTTCTGTTCTGTATTTCGGGTTAGCATTATTATTATTATTCAGTATTTATATAGCGCCAAAGGGTTTGCTCAGCGCTGAACAATAGCAGGGGGACAGAACATGAGACAATACAGAAACAATACAATACACGAGGGGTTCAAGGGCCCTGCTCTTTCGAGCTTACAATCTAGCATGTTCCATTGTTAAAAGGAGTCGGTTCATGCCTTTTTGTCTATTATATTTTTACATTTGTCTGATCAATCCATCACGGTTTTATGATGGGAAATATCTTATCTAATCTTTTTCTTTTTTGATTTTGGCAGGAGACCACTTCATCAAATTTTTTGCCCCTTGGTGTGGCCATTGCAAATCATTGGCCCCAGCATGGGAGCAGCTGGCTTCCTCTTATCAGGAATCCTCTACAGTCAAAGTTGCAAAGGTTTGTAAAGGGTACTATGACTCATAATTATTTATTTATTTTTCACTTTTTGGGTGTTCAGGCCTTGTAGAGCAGAATGAATTGTACAAACTGTCACCAATGAGCATATGCTTTACTGATAACATTTTGTTCATATCCTTTTTTTATTATTATTATATATAATTTTTTTTTTCTATTTTGCTTCTGGAAACGGTGTGATGCCACATTGTGAATTAATTTGTAGTCATCTCATCTGAAGGCAAATCTGTCCCATCAGCAGGATGAATATTTCTGTATAGATCTTTTAGGAAACTTGTAAAAGCAGACAAGAGAAGGGAAATTTTGGTTAAATTCTAGTTTATGACTGGCTGGTATGCCTCACTTGTCATTTAAGAAGGCCAAAACAGTAGTACTGTCCACAGGTCAGTGTTCTGGTTCAGCAAGGGCCATTTGATGTTTTAAATCCCAGCATTTGTGATTCCCATGAAATTCCACCTTCCTTCTCCCCGCTCTGTATTCAGTTTAATTGGTCGGTTTTGTTTGAGCACAAAAATGGTGGTTGCTAAAGCATATGTTAAGGGGGAAAAAAGTGCATCTCTGCAGTATATTCATTCTCCATGTTATACAGCACAGAATAAGGTATTGGAGATTTTGGACAGTATTTCCCAATCTAAATGTGTTCTAATGAATTTTGCACTGTGCAATACATATTTATATATTTTTTTTTTTCCCCTTCCCTCTTTTTTAAAAGGTTGACTGTACTCAGCATAATGACCTCTGTTCTGATAATCAAGTACGTGGCTATCCCACACTAATTTGGTTCAGAAATGGTGAAAAAGTAAGTGATTTTTTTTTTTCTCTTTTGTCTCTGTGAAATGTACAGCATTTATTTTATACAAATTATTTAATGCCATGTTTCTTGTGCTATTTTAGGTGGATCAGTACAAGGGGAAACGGGATTTGGATTCCTTAAAAGAGTATGTGGAAACCCAGATGAAAACCACAGACAACAAGGAAGCAGATGTCCCAGCACAAGAAGATGAACCAATAGCCGTGGAAGTGGGTAGCTGAGCTTATGTTTAATTTAAAAGATGATGGAGCAGACACTGTGGGGTTTATTTACTAAAGCTGGAGAGTCCAAAATCAGACTCCCTTCTGCATAGAAACCAATCAGCTTCTAACCTCAGCTTGTTCAATGAAGCTTTGGCAATGAAACCTGGAAGCTGATTGGTTTCTATGCAGAAGGGAGTCTGATTTTGGACTCTCCAGCTTTAGTAAATAAACCCCTGTGTGTTAGTTTTGTATGTTTACTTTCCTTCACCTTGTTGCTGGTCGTGGGGGGAAAAAAATTACAAAAATATCATTGGAGAATGAGTGAGTTTGCCAAGTACCTGTTCTGAAATAACCATGCTCTCTGCAGCTTTTAATAAAAGCATATACCTTGGACGCTCTGAAAATGTACATCTGCCTTTCCCTGCCCTACCTTAGTGTGCAATGGCTACAGGTAAATGTTTTAGTGAAAAAATGGCATACGCATGGGCAAACCAACAAAATACTGTATTTCATTTAGATCAGCCTGGTACTTTGCAGCCCTACATATCTGCCTAGATCACTAGCCACTAAATACCTTGTTTGGGTGCTAGAACGTTTCACACCACACTTCTGATTTTGTACAAACAACTTTCAGTAGAAATACCATGGTGATAAATCTGAGCAAATATATAAATTGTGGTATTTACAGGAAATCATGCATGGTCAAAGGTTTGGAAGTTTTTAACAATTTTGGTTATACAGCCATTTGTATATTTGCTGAAGCTTTTGGGAAGAAAGATTTGTATTGCCACACTTCATGCAAAAGTGTATTTAAATAAAGTCCATGTAGTCTGTTTTGCACTGGAGAGTATAGCTGCCTGCAACCAAGCATGCCTCATTAAGCTGTGAAGACTTCTGTGTGCCGTAGCTAAAGAATACTTGTTTTATCTTTCAGTCGAAGGTACTGGCTCTTACGGAAAATAACTTTGATCAAACTGTTGCCAAAGGTATCGCCTTTATAAAGTTCTACGCACCATGGTAACTATATTTTTGTTTTAATATGCATCTGTTTATTTGAATAAGACATGAGTAGCAGATTTATAGTGTAAAGTTAAGGGATTGAATATTTAGTCTGATATTTAAAATGGTCTTTCTATTACCCTAGTCTGTTGGCATGGACTGCATGAACACCCTTTCACTTTGTTCTGCACTCCTGTGACCCATCTTCAGCTGACAGCAGGCTAAAGCTTACTGTTGGCTGACACAGGGCTGGTCTAAGCTGGGGAAAGATGGCGACCATATGGTTGGGATCCACTGAGGAGCCTAGAACAGTACCTGGCTCAGGCTCTCGGGTGAGCTGTTGAGAGTCTGAGCCCAGTGCTCCAGTGGGGGTGGGGGGTAGGCAGGCAGAAGAGACAGCGGTAACTGACAGTCACCACCCTCTGCTCAGAGCGGCAGGGAGAACTGAGCAATTAAGCGGTGTTTGATCACCCAGTTCTCAGCCTTAGAGCCAGCAGGGACAGATGCAGCATCGGATTGAGTTTGCATCCACCTAAGTAAGTATAATTTTTAAAATACTTCTCTTTTAAATAGGTAAAATATTTAGAATTGCAATAATTGGTCTATATTAAAATGGACAAAAAAAGCTGCAGTATCTTCCTGACACATATTGCAGCAGACGGTAGAGTGAAGAAAATAATGTTGCTTACTAAGTAACTAGTAGATACACCATGACCTAAGTAAATGAGAACCTTCATAGATACATTAAAGATCTATCATTTTATGTCCCCTTAGGACAAAGTACATGTAGCACTTTTTCTCATGTTGCCGAGTGCTTTCTAACCATAGTTATGAGGTCCGACCTGGCCCCTCCCATCCTGCCATGGCTGATTTTGACAAGAGCTTTCAAGGAGACAGCTGATTCAAAAGTTCAGCTTGTCTCTGCTGTGAACACTTTCCACAGACAAGAAGTAGCAAGAGGAATGCAGAAGCAGGGGGGACGTGTCATATCTAAAGTCCCATTTATCAAATACCGCTCCCTGTTATAAATAGGGCCTAAGTGCCATTCCCTCCACCCACTTGCTGTATTCCTTAATGGCTTTTATAAATTGTATAAGATACTTTACTATTTCAAAACTTGTGAGTATGTTAATTACATGGTTTCCTTCCAGGTGTGGACACTGTAAGCATTTAGTTCCTACATGGGAGGATCTTTCCAAAAAAGACTTTCCTGGTTTTAGTGATGTGAAAATAGCCAAAGTGGACTGCACTGCTGAACGATCCCTCTGTAATAGATTCTCGGTAAGTCATATGTGCATGTGGACATAAATTCTTTAATTTTTGCGTTCTATCTATTCTGAGATCAGTAGGTAGAATTAATTTACCAATTTGCTAGTGACTTTATTGGACAAAATGCAATATTATTAAAAACACTTGTTCACTATACTGTATGCCTTGCTGTGTGGGCATGGGAATCCTATGTAGTGATGCTTCTTGTGTTGTGTATTCATGAATATAGGCAGCAGGTCTTATCAAACTTGGCAGGTGCAAACTACAATGCCCATTTGTGTTCTGACACCTTTCTATTGGAACCAACATTCACTTTTTTAGCAGCTTTGCTTTTGGATCAGACTACACAGGCCAGCCATCTCTCCCTATGTGCATCAGTGAGCCTCTACTTTTTTTTCCTTTTTTTTTTTGGATTACTTTTGATAGGTCCTGGCCATTCCAGACCAGGAACATTCTGCAAGAGGTTTGTAGTTGCTTTTGACCCAGTTGTCTAGCCATCACAATTTGGCTCTTGCTAAAGGTGCCCTTGCTAAAGATGCTCAGATCTGTATACTTGCCTCTTTTCATTTTACAAAGGGAAAAGAAAACAATTAGTGGGCTTTCCCAGCTTTGTCAGAAGTGATATGGAAATGTACCACAAGCTTTTAACTTCAACATGAAGAATATCTTCTACTTCGGTGTACACCAAATGTCGCCCAAAACTGCTGGCCACTTTGTTAAAACTGCAATTTAATTTAGTGTGTGGAAGAAGGGGGGGGGGGATGATAAGTCTTGTAATTAGTAGCTTACTGCACTTACCTTTTATTCAAGCAGTCCATTTATGTGGCATACATGCATTCCACATAATTGCCTTATTTTCCACCATAGCTGCCCTTTATACTTTTTTTTGATATGTAGCATAAGGCCCCTTTCACATGGGTGAGATCTAGTCATTTCCACCAGTCAGTTTTTCAGGCAGACCTGACCATCTAGGTGGACTGGAGGGCAGTCAAGTGTGAATAGGCAGCCAGTCACTTTACCACCAGCTGCCCATAGAGCAGAGCAGGCTGCGTCCATGTCCGCTCTGCATAAACTGCACGAATACGAACCTGTCGTCTGCCAGCTCTGCTCTAATCTGATTCTACCCCACGTGAAGGGGACCCCACAGTTCTTACATCAATATTAATTTTTGTATTGTGATTAAAACGGTGTTCAAGCTTTCAGTATGGTTTAGTTTTGTGAAGCAATTTTACTTCTAATTTTCTTGTCTTCCTTTGGCAGGTACGGGGATATCCAACATTGCTGCTCTTCCGTGCTGGGGAAAAAGTGAGTGAGCACGAAGGAGCTAGAGACCTGGAAACACTACAGAACTTTGTGCTGCGGAATTCCAGAGATGAACTGTAAACCATCCTGAACCCTATGGGTTTGCACTGTGTGTATGGGCCAAACCGTTACTGAGTCATTTACATGCAGTACTGCAGAGCATACTTAATTTAATGGTTTGTCTTCTGGGTGTTCTGTAAGATGCACACAACCCTGATAAAAACAGGGATCTAAAATTTTTCAGAATGACCAAACAAAACCTCTTATGAAGACATCTCAGGATGTATGTTATGCCACTATTATGGACAATATTTCTTAGTAGATTTTAGCAGTGTCTTGAGCAGTTCTTGTGCACAACTTGTCATCAAAATGTTTTATGGAAGATCTCGGCTGTGAAGTGCCTTACTTGCTGGGTGGGTGAAAGATGAAGGGTTAATCTAACTATTTTTCTTCAATTCTGTGTTGTAAAAGGATCATTTTCAATATAACATTATCTTGTCACAAAATGTTACCTTTTTTTTTACTTGCTGTTGAAGGAGGGGGGAGGGGGCTTGATCCTGTGTTTCAGTGCAGTGTTTGAGCCTTGCTTTTTTTTCTAGGTTTTTGGCACAACTACACCAATAAACAAACACTTTACAATATGGGGCTTTTGTTTGCCTTTCAATCCTTCTATGTACACATAACATCACATCTTCCCTGGATACTTTGACAGCATAACATTTGGTTCTTCATGAAGGTGAAGGAATGGAGACTTTCTGGGTCCCTCTGGCAGCAGTCAAAGCAGGATATATCATGTGGTTGCTGCTTTTACATGAGATCTAAATTAAATCTGTCATAAGAATATGGAGGCTGTCATTGCTGACCTCATTCCAAATGCTTGTTGCATATTCCTAGAGTGCTGTGTTTAGATGCTTACTTAGTGTTTGCATCGAAATATGCTGTTTTTAGATACCTGTGTGATTAGAATTCTGGCTGTCATAGGAAATGTGATAATACAGCAGTATGCAACATCTGCAGTTCACTCCTAAGCCGTATCAAATGGCATGCATCCAAACCTACAGGAGCTAGTGGCTGTTTGGCATTCTCCCATTTATTATATTGCATATTGTAAAGGCCCAGAGGTGTCCTTCCCTCCCTACAGAAATTATCCACCAACACCCTTTATCCTTTAGGTAGACAAAAACACCCCCCATAGACATGGGATCATAGCTTATAAGCAATCCATTTAAAGTAATTAATGTGAGAATGAGAAACACTCTTCAGTGCACAGCATTCCCAGAAAACCATTAAAGGTAAACTCCCCTTTTAAATCCTAATGGCATAAAGTCCCACATAGCCATAGCAAGGACTTAATGTAAATAAGGTACTTTCTATCACTTGTATGTTAAGGAAATCTTAGGTTTGACTAGGGTGTTTAACTAAACCCTTATAATGCTCCCAGTATTTGACTGTTTCTGCATAGAGAAATACTGCCACATGGTATAGACCAAAAACCTCTTCATTATGGCCTTTGTATGATAATATGGTGAGGCATGTTTGTAGAACAAACTCATTTTTTGGCCGTTATATAAAATAAGGTGGAGTACAACATTTCTTGGATATACCTGGTGAATGGCCATACTTTTAAAGTATAATGATGGGCAAAGCCCCATTCTTTCTTTGTTTTTAAAAGGGCACTTCTCAGGTATTTTTGCCTGTGTCCCTGTTAGAGTGTTACCCTCCCTGAGGGTACTTGCAAACTATACTGATTATTATTCCTGACCACATTTTTTATTGTACACGTATTTGCGTGCACATCAAATTCTAGATCCCAGAATGCAATATTTTGTTGTGTTAGGGGTTTATTGTAAGTACACTATTGCCAAAAGTATTTGGATACCTGCCTTTACGCGCACATGAACTTTAATGGCATCCCAGTCTTAGTCTGTAGAGTTCAATATTGAGTTGGCCCATACTTTGCAGCTATAACAGCTTCAACTCTTCTGGGAAGGCTGTCCACAAGGTTTAGAAGTGTCTTTAGGAATATTTGACCATTTCTAGAAGCGCATTTGTGAGGTCAGGCACTGATATCAGACGAGAAGGCCTGGCTTGTAGTCTCTGCTCTAATTCATCCCAAAGGTGTTCTATTGGATTGAAGTCAGTCAGTTCCAAAGTTGGGAGTATGAAATTGTCAAAAATGTCTTGATACGCCGACACCTTAAGAGTTCCCTTTACTGCAACTAAGGGGCCAAACCCAATCCCTGAAAAACAACTCCATACCAAAATCCCCTGACCCTGGGCCCCCCCCCCCCCCCCCTCCACCAAACGTTACACTTGGCACAATGCAGTCAGGCAAGTACCGTCCACCCAGCAACCACCAAACCCAGATATGTCAGTCGGATTGCCAGACAGAGAAGTGTGATTTGTCACTCCAGAAAACATGTCTCCACTGCTCTAGAGTCCCGTAGTGGCGTGCTTAACACCACTACATTGGACGCTTTGCATTGTACTTGGTAATGTAAGACTTGGATGCAGCTGCTCGGCCATGGAAGTTCTCTAAGCACTGTTGTGCTAATCTGAAGGCCACATGAAGTTTGGATGTCTTTAGCTATGGACTCTGCAGACAGTTGGTGACTTCTGCACACTTCAGCATGCGCTAACCCCTCTCTTTCATTTTACGTGGCCTACCACTTTGTGGCTGAGTTGCTGTTGTTCCCAGTTGCTTCCACTCTGTTATAATACCACTAACAGTGGACAGTGGAATATTTAGTAGCAAAGCAATTTCACGGATGGCAACCTATCACGCTTGAATTCATTTGGCTCTTGAGAGCGACCCATTCTTTCACAAATGTTTGTAGAAGCAGTCTGCATGCCTAGATGCTTCATTTTATACACCTGTGGCCCTGGAGGTGATTGGAACACCAGAATCCAACGATTTAAAGGGGTGTCCCAATACTTTTGGCAATATAGTGTATGTAAAATACTGACAGCAATGCAAATTTCTGAATTTTTATTTTCTTCTGATCTATACTTGGTGCATGTTTTATGTACCTGAGTGTACAGATGCATGGAAAACACTAGTCTGCATTTAAGATTGTAAAAAAAGATGCTGTGTTTAGGCAGCAGTGTGCAGGAGGCTTAATCGTCCTGTTTACTGTTATAGAGGGAAAGTGAAATAAAATCTCAACTTTTTGATTTGTCACTAGCACGTGAATAAAGGGGAAATCATCCTCCTTTTTTGGAGTGATTTCCTCTCACGTCCTGTTTTTTGGCTATGGAACAAGTGCTGACAGGAAGACTCGCCGATGGTACGAAGATGCCAGAAAATTGACGGTTGTAACCTTCCCTTTGGTATATCCAAATTATTGAAAAAAAAGTTTGCTTTTAGCTCAAGCATGCTTGTCACATTTTTACTGCTTTTTGGAATGATTTCTTCAAATATGGTTATTTATCTCAGTGAGTTTACAGTACAGTGATGAATGTTTAAGGCGTTATGAAGGTCATTAAGCATCCTCAGTTGGGGTGGGGGAGTGAGGAATCTGAAAGCAATCCACAATCTCTTTCACAAAGTGGTAACTAGAATATGTGCGTATTTTTATAAACCTGATTTTTCCCAGCTTGGACTGTATAATGTTCCCATTGGCGTGCTCAAAAACTTTGGGAAATAAATGGAAAACTCAATTCAAATAAAGAATTAAAAAAACAAAAATGTTTGCAAAAACAGAACAAAGCAATGTAGAGCAGGTCAGCCTATTATAGATGCTAATTAGAACCTTGAGATAACTAAGAATGTCATATTGGTGAAATATTGCTGCTTACCAGTCCTTGGATGGGGTGGCTGCATTTATCTGCCAGTAAGATCTGTTGTACACAGGTGTAGAAAATGCTGAGTTTTTTTTTTAACTGATCTGATATTAGATGCATCATTGTCTATGGGACATTGAACACAGCTAGAGTAAAGATCAGTAACAGTGTTGAGTACAGAGCAGTAAAACAAAAACAGAAAATTTTACATTTGAATGCAGTAACTTACTCTCTTGTTTACTCATTTAGGCCCCTTGCACATGAGTGTCATAATTTACTCATGTTTACTCAGGAACATGCCGTGTGCAAGAGGCCACAATACTGGCAATGAAGAATTTAGCTCGCCTTTACTCCATATTACTGATGTTTTTACACACAGTTTTGACCCCTTGCACATGGGTGTCACAAATTATGATGCCCGTGTGCAACGGGTCTAACACGCCTACTGAAATAAAGTACAGAGTTGGCACTGTGGACCCGCTCACCTTGTATTTGGACTACAGCACCCCAACTCTTCCACATAGGCATACATAGATTTCTGTACTTGAAGATGTACGCAAGACAGGATACATGCATACGGGTAAAAAAAATATAGGTTTTTACCATTGATGTGTTTTATTCTGCACGGCTGCACTACACCTACTGAAATAAAGATGGCAGCATAGGATGCTGTATGTAACTGAAGAAGAAATGCCAGTTATCTGTAGATGTCTGCATTTAGTTGTTGTTAAATCAGGCGGACTCCTGCACTTCATACTTGATGGTACACCAGCAGGTTATATACTGTAGGGTCAGCCTAACTCTAATATGTGACTATCCTGTGACTACAGTCCTATATACCCTGCCTAAAATTCACAAGGACTTCCATAATTCTACTGGTGTTGCTGTTTAGTGAGTAAACTAAGTATTTGATCTACAAAAAACTGGTCACCTACCCAGGTCTACAACTGGCTTTTTAAACCGTGAACATGGAAGGCGTCACTACGTGAAAAAGTAGGGCTATCCAGTTCAACTTACCAGCCTACCCCAGTCTAATAATGGCCATTGTCGGCAAGGAATGTGGATAGGTATAACTTATCAACAGAGGGGGATAAGAAAAGCCAGTTCAATCTGCCAGCCAGTTAGCCAACTATCAAAGACCAAATTAACCTGTTTAAAAACAGGGGTTTAGTTGGCACACATTTTCACATACATACGTAAGCCACAGAGCCAGTAAGTATTTGATCCCCTACCAGCCAACAATAATTCTGGCTCCCACAGGGGGGCTGAGGATAGTAACATGGGGGGGATAAGTGCAG